ATATATTTTTGAAAGCATTCTTACTTTACAGCATTTTTTCACACCTACCTAAAACTTTTGCCCAGTACTATATAATGTTTTTCATTCAAGCCAGAAAGTTCTGTTTTGGTCTTATCTGTCCGCAGAACATTCTTCCAGTAGCCTTAGGGCTTATCCTCGTGGTCTTTCACAAACTGTAGATGGGCAGCAATATTCTTTTTAGAAAGTAGTGGCTTTCTCCTTGCAACCCTGCCAGGCCCACCATCATTGTTCAGTGTTCTCCTGATGGTGGTCTTATGAACACTGACAATTGCCCATGCAAGAGAGACCTTTAATTCCTTAGACGTTACCCTGGGCTTCTTTGAGGGGTCCTGGAGTATTACAGGTGTTGCTCTTGGTTGGTTAACCATTCCTGGGTAGGGTAACAATGGTGTGAATGGCCTCCATTTGTACATGATCTGCCTGGCAGTAGACTGGTGGAGTCCAAACTCTTTGGAAATAGTTTTGTAACTTTTTCCAGCCTGGTGAGCATCAACTGTTTTTTGGAGGTCCTCAGAAATCTCCTTTGTTTGAGCCATGACACGCTTCCACATATCTATGTTGTGGAGAGCAGACTTTGATAGTGAATGCCCAGAATTCTGTTCTTTAAGGCAGGACCTCCCACATTCACATCTGATTATCATCCTGTTGATTGAAATACTTGACTCTAATTTCTCATTCAAATGAACTGATAATCCTAGAAGTTTATATACTTTTGCCGCATACAAATATGTAGCTTTAGATCATTTTTTTCAGTAAATCAATGAACAAGTATACTGTTTTTAATTCATTTGTTTAATTGAGTTAACTTTATCTAGTTTTAGGACTTGTGTGGAGAGTAGATCATGTTTTAGGTCATCTTTATGCCGAAATATTGAAAATTCAAAAGGGTTCAAAACTTTTAAGCACCACAGTATTTTTGATATTAAATGCATATTGTTTTAGCACAACTTTGGAAAACAGAGACAATTAAGCTATATTGCCTTGATGCTCTTTCCACAATACTAACAAACCCAGTAGATACTGAATATGGATACTAATTAAAATAACACCATTTGTAGCATTAACCACTTGGTGTGCTTTGCTGTGTAATATAAGCTTATACATGCCTTTTCAGATATAAGACGATTTTTCTGCTGTCAATATGCATGTGTACAAATGTATACAAATCAGTCTTTTTTTTTTATTATTTAAAGGTGCCTGACTTTATAAAAACAAAATACAGTGAAAACAGTAACAGGAATATAATTGAACAGAGGACCAGAGTTTTCATCTATATTTGTTTGCTTGTCCACAGTGCCTCAACTTGTTATGCAGGAAGTCTCCAGCATTTTAGAGCAGTGGCTGGAGTCATTTGCAATTCTGATAAAACAGGGTCAATACACGTGGTTTCTTCGGTTTTGGTTTAGTGTGGTGTTTGACTCCAGCCATTATGGTTTGCAGGCAGTCAGTGAATCCAGCCATCATGGCTTTTTGAACAAATCATGATTTAACATGTATATAGCTAGTCTTTGAATCCTTAGGACTATTAAGATAATCTTGTCTTCCTGCTTCATACCAATCAGTCATGGAATTGGCAAGTCTCAAATAG